CATGGTACTTTCAGCATTCTTCGCCAGCACCACAACTCAAAAGCCTCGACTCTTCTTTGGTCTTCCTTATTCATTGTCCAGCTCTCACATGCATATGAGGCAATTGAAAATACCATGGCTTGTGTCAAGCGCACCGTAGTCTTCAAGGAAACATCTTCACTCTTCAGCACTTGAAAGAGGTCCTTTGCAGCAGATTTGCCCAATGCTATACGATGTCTGATATCTTGACTGCTGCTTCCATTAGTATTGATTGTAGAACCAAATAATATGAAGTCTTTGACAACTTCAATCTTTTCTCCATTTATCATGATGCTGCTTATTGGCTCCGTTGTGAGGATTTTTGTTTTCTTTATATTGAGGTTTGTAATCCATACTGAGACTGTAGTCTTTAATCTTCATCAGTAAGATGAAGATTAAAGACTACTTCATCAAAATGGAGTCGAGCCAGTGAGCAGCACGCTTTATCGCTCTGCCATCTAAGGTCTTGAATAACTAGCCACAACAGTTTAAATTAGGAATTTCACTACTCTGAACAGCTCACAGATTCAGATTATATCAAACTCACAAAGCAGAATTAGAGGAAAGGCACAGAATTATTTGGGAAAGAACTACTGGAGGAGGACGGATGGACGGGTACCCGAGAGAGGCATTGGAAACTCACTGTGTGCCGGGCTAGGGCACCCGCCTGAGATCCCCGAGCCAAAAGGGAGGACACCTTATAACAGCTTACCAGCGACCACTCTAATATTCCAGTGGACAGCGGCAGAGACCTGCCTCCAGCAGCTCATCTTGATTTTTTGGAGGTAATTTGGGTCTCCTGGGGGCTGGCTGTGGGCATGGACACCTCCGCTGAGATTTGGAGGAAAACTTACTATTGTGACAGGAAGGGTAGCTCCCTCCCCTCCCAGCGGGTCACAGAGTAGACTGGGGTCAGACTGGGAGACTTCGTGCTTTTCTCTGTCACAGAGATCGGGACTGCAGGTCAATAGCAAGTACCACCCCCGACCCACAGCTCAAAATGCATGCATCTTTGGCGCTGCAGCTGGGCGGTATCACAGACAAACTCCAGAGCCGGCCATTAGCGATCTGGCGGGATTACATCAGCACTGCGGACAGAACCAACAGGAAGAGGGAAGAAACCGCACTCCTGGGATTTCTGCCTTGGCGCCATTCTTTAGCACTGTGGGGCCGCGGAGGCGGGATCTTTGAGCATGCCTGAAATTGGCTGAAATTTGTGACGCTCTAACAATAAGAATCTTTCCTGAATTGAGCTGCAGCCTTGCAAATAAATACGTCATCAAAAATAGCCTGCTCAAAGCCCTAGAAACCGGCTCTAGCAACACCAAGCTTTTCTTCTTCCTCTCCCACCTTCTTCCGCTCCCACTTTCTCTGCCAATATCTTCTCTCACTCAATAGAAGAAAACATATTCATCCAATTATCATAAAACCTCCCGCTTCAAACTCTAAACCCTCTTTATGATAAACAGAAACACATATCCACACTACACACAGGTATTCTGCCATCACAAAGAAAACAGCAGAGTGACTCGACACACTTGCATCAATTAAAAAAAAAAAAAACCCACCAGCTTCACCTTTTCAAACCATTAAACCATAAAACCAAGACAAAACAAATCAACACCTAACAAGCAGCTAGTGACAACCTAAAGAGACAGTGCTCTACCAGATTCCAGGAACTTAAGAAGAGGTTCTGCTATCCAGTAACCCCAACAACTCTCCAGGAGTGCACTACACGACTAAAGAAGTCCTAGTCTACACCTTCCTTTTTTTCTTCTTCTCTCTCTTATTCTCTAGTGGTTAACTCCATCCCTTGTTAGTTTGTTTTGTTTGTTTGATTGTTTGTTTTGTTTTGTTTTGTTCTGTTTTTGCTTTTATTTTCTCTTATGTTGTTGGTTTGTTTCTTTGTTTGTTTTCTTTATTCATTATTCTCCTTCTCTACTTTTTTACTCTCAATGACTTATCCACAGATACTGCAGATTTATCTGTTTTCTTCTTCTTTTCCCCCCTATTTTTCTTTTTTTGGGTTACTGGTCCTATGTGATTTCAGGATGTATTTTTTGTACATGTGCTTATAGTTTGTTCAATGGTTATTCAATTGTAATTTTTGCCTAACTGACTGGGAGACAGCAACAGTCCTCATAAGATACAAGAACACCCACACCTCCTGCAACTTCACTTACTGAGCAAG